TGCTAAAATAAAAGGGTAAACTACATTTAATTCAGGAGTAATATCCCATTGTAATCGATCATATTTAGGAATCGACTCAACTGTTCCATATGTATTTCCATTTTCATCGTAATTATACTCACAAATTGTTTTTATAGCACAAAATTCCATTAAGTGAGCCACCACTGCTGCGTCGCCCCTAAAGCATTCCACTGTATTTATAAGAACTGTTGACAATAAGTTGCAAAATGGAAATCAAGAAGGTCAGGCTAAACGGATTAAACAAATACCATTAAAATGTATATAATAATCAATTATTAATTTAGTAATTAGTTCAAAAGTCATTTCTATGAAAGTTTTTTCCACTTACTAAGCTATAATTATTAGCATCAATATTAATATTAATTATTAGCAACTTTGATTAGTTATAATTTTACTGCTCAATGTAGAACCACAACCTGACCTCCCAAAATTACAACATGATATCAACAAAGAGTTCAATTTGTCTAATAATTCATTAATAAAACTTTCCTTACCAAGAACTCTTTATAAAATATTCCTTAGTCTAAATTTGTAAAAAAGTAAATATAAAATGTCAGCCATATTTTTACTATATAACTCCAATTTTGTAGATATCAAATTATTTCACAATCTTTCTCATTTCAAAATACTAATATATTTGAATATAAAAATTTTCTCCAACCTCAGTTTCATTTCAATTTTATAACTCTTATCAAATTAGTTTTGAATCAAAACTAACTAACAGAAAATTAAAATATTTTTGCGTAATAATTATGCATAAAACGAATAGTTTTACGAAAAATGATCTGAAAACTTAGAATAAAACAACCTTATAATTCAAAGACTGAAAAATAATTAAATAACTTCAACAAAAATCATTTTCAAAAAGTCACGAAGCATTTCAATTTATATAGCTAAATCTTTTTTTCAAATTATCATGCAAATTTAGTCTGAAGAGCAAAACTGAAACAGAAAAAAGATGAAAAGCAAAACAGATCTGGAAACAATTCAATGCACAAATCTGTGTCTACACAGTTATCATTAATGACCTTACGTAATATGTAGAAGTAGAAATATAATGAAATATATGTAGAAATATGCTGTATAATTATATTGATCAATAAGAAATTGAATATAATGATTAGAATAACAAGATAAATAAAACGGCAAACCAAGAATGTTCAGCATTAATACCAAAACGGCCATTTTTAAAAATAATTAGATTGAATGACTTATCGAACCAACGATCACATCCAGTACCATGCAATAAGCTGCTAGCCCAATAATCCAATTTCGACGAATCATTCTAAATCGAATCATTAATTTAATAATAAAATCAGTTTCCCAGTAATGAATGATGCTTATAGCCTCAGAATAATATCAAGGTAACACTAAAAATTCCATGAAAGACGAATCGGAAATGAAGTTTTAGTGCTTTAGTGATCTATCAAAAGAAAAGAATTAGCAACATACGGAGTCATAGAAAACTTCTTTATCATCCAGTATAACAACAAATGCAGCCTTTTCTACTACATGCAACGAAAGTAGATTGATTCCGGAAGTAAAGTAATTTCTGCGTGCTTGCGCCCACACATCTCGATCACCGGCTGTTAAAGCAGCAATGTAACTTTTTTCAGCATCTGAATTGACTTCCTCATTCAGTATTGCTTCAAAACCTTTTTGCAATTCGCATGGTTCGTATAACCTGCAAAAAAAAAGATCTCTAAGCTGTTTGTAATTATCAACTAAGAAATGTGTATCGGCTTAATAATATACGCGGAAAGAGCAGAATTTTTGGAATATTCGATTTTTTGGACGCAGAATGCCTTTTACAAAAAATAATCAGTTTTCAGATAGATACTAACGGTATGGGTGTTCATCCGTATATTTTAATCCATTTGCTTATTCCGGTTACCAGTCACAATGTTCATTGAACAAAAGAGAAAAATACTAAATAAATAATTTTTTCCACTGAACATTTAAGGAGTCAAGTCGCCTTTTAATTCCATTAAAAAATTCATAAATGTTCTTTGCAACCCTTCACGCTTCTTTTTTTAAAATTTGAAATGCCTTATAGTCCAGAATGTCTGACAAGAGCTCCATATTTTTTTCCTTCCTTAGATTCTTTACATATTCACTTCATATGTCACCTATTTTCTTCTAAATTCCTTCAACAGTGCCTGTTTCTGATATTATTTACTAACTTTTTTACGGTAAGAAGTTCATAAAATGTTTATAGTCAAGACATATGCAAAAAAAAATTGAGTAATATTTTAAACTTCATAAAGGATCAACCTTTTTCCATTATGAATAGCAAGACGATACCAATGACCATGACAATACACTGCAACATGTTTCGCATCACTCCAATGATAAAACTTATCCTTTTCCACACAAGGCACGCGGCAACTATTGAACAATCGTTCATACTGAGCGGTACAAAACGGTATTTTGTAGTGTGATAAGAACGAAAACTGTAAATATAAAATTTTTATCCAAAAAAAGGAAATTTTTTGGACACTTATATTTTTCAATCTTTTGCTTACTTTATGTGGATTTCAATTCTCGCATTTCTCATAAATAAATTCCACCATATTATGATATTCTCGTCATCAATCGTTCATACTGGACGATATTTCTTGCAAAGTTTGTGATATCTTGTTTGGAAAACTGACCGGTTTTATTTCCTGCCGTTCTATCATTCGCCGAAATAAAAGTGCTGCCCAGGTCACCGTAGCAGCACGAGCGGCTTGATTATGCGTCGGATGTGCTACGAATGAATCCATACCATAATAATTACTGAAAAATAACTTATTGAAAAATCAGTAAAACATATCTTGCAATATAAATTCATTGAATAAAAAAAATCAACCTATTAATCATTATTGGAGAACGCTGTCGCAAATAAACAAATTCTTCCCACCAATCTGCTACGTAATTGATCGAGAGGAAAGATTTAATAATTAGGTACCACTGCAAATGCCGCCCCACTCCATTACGAAATTTTTTTGTAAGCTGAACTAGTTCATCATATTCTTCATCTGTACATACTGGACGCATCGTACAAAGGTGCTGAAATTTTCTTTGAATAGTCATCTTTTAGACAAAAAAATTTGAGCCAGTAATCATAATGATTTTTCTAAATGCAGTGAACATGCTCATTAGTGGGAATATCAAACATTTATTCCAATTATGAAAAATATCGTCATTCTACTTCTTCATACTCAATTCTAACCTTATCAAGGGTATCGTCTAGTCGCGGTAATGGCAAATGTGGCAAAGCTCCTTGAAATGAATGTAACATCAGGCCACTTTTTGATAACACATGTAAGATAACCTGCAAACAGAAAATAATCCAGAATGCTTCATTAAAAAAAATGTTCTACTTATTCTTGAACTCATGCATTTTATAGCAAATAATCTACTTCATATGTCTCGGAACGTATGGTTTATAAAAGACTCAGCACTAAAACTATACTAAAATTGCCAAGTCGTTGTCAACAGCAGTTGATTGAAAGAAGAAATCATAAGGTACAGATGAAAAACATTAGCTTACCAACCACAACTTTGATAGCTTTGAAAGTGGCCGCAAATGTGGATTTTCAAACATCCAACCTTTGTAGAGCAAAAAGCATTTAAGGCTTAGCCGGATGACTTGAATTATCACGAACCATACAAATATACTGTATAGCATAAGTGAAAGTGTTTGCGAAAATATTCCATTCCTGCAAAATTGAACAATAAAAACATATTTTAAAAACAAAATGTCTACAAAACATAAGAGAAACTATTCAACCTAATAAGCTCAGCTATTTGATTTCTTTATCCTGGTAGAAATCTGCAAAAAATAAGTATTATATCATATTTTAAGATAGAACAATGCGATAAATTTGGTATTAAACAAAAATTATTTTTTTATCCTTTGCAATTAAGTAAAAATCCGTAAAAAATAAGTATTATATCATATTTTTTATTGGCAATAACCAAGACTTTCAAATCAAAAATTTCACAACATCACTTTTGGTCTCTTTCCAGAAATCAGAAACTCCCTTGAGCAGAAATGAAGTATGTTGTGGTAGCCATTTTAAAACATGAAAATGAAAAAAGAGTTAGTAGTTGGAAGAAAAAGTTACCCAAAAAATGAGCTGAAGATATAATACCGCAATAAATACAATACACCAAATGAAAAATCACGGTGAAACATCGATAAAAGACTGATTACAAACATAACTATACACATCGTATAAGCATTTGCTGGGAAGATACCATTATAAAAGTTATTCTGCAATGAGGTAACATTTTAATTCACGTTTCATAACTGGACAGATGAGATAAAACAGAGATAATAAAAATATCTTCTAGAAATGAGTCATTATTGGGATATCACGTTTGATATTCTGATAATTATCCACTTTTAAAGTCTTCATTTGTCTATACACTTGAGCACAACAAAAGATTATTGGGGAAAAATACAAAGTGTGATAAAAATGAACTAATTTTATGCTATTTATAAGCAATCATATAAAAGAGTTATTTTCGAAATTTCTTTCTATGATTCAAATAAATGAATAAGATTTATAGCGCTATTCTAATTATTACTTCGCAAACAGAAAACGTCTTAAGATGAAAAAAAAAATGACTTTTCTTTCTTTCGCAGCTATTAAAACTCTTAGTTGGTATGCTACACCTGTTGCTATTTGCTCATATAAATAGAACTGTCAAATTTCATCGTAAGTTTTGGCAAAAATTCGTTTTAAATTTAATAGCAATCAAATCTTTCAGCTTAAAATCCACGTACCTTAAAACGTGCCACACGCTTTTTGTAGGCTCGGAAAAATGACTGTAAAATTTCATTAAGCAATTCTTGATCATAAGATACTGATATACCGTCATGTGTTAACGAAACGGACAGCGCCGCAATACTGTGCGCCTCTGCCATTGCTTTCTTTTAAATTAACGAACTCGCAGCACAAACTGTAAATGACTCTGTGATGTATTAATTTTTTTATTTTCTCATTAAAACTCCCTTTTTATGAATTTTACTAGTGATAGTGATAATCATTATTAAGATCATCAATGTTCGTGATATTCCGGACTGTGATGTGGATTTGCGCTGGACAAGATTCCTAGGCTTGTTAGAGTTTCGGATGATTGATAAATTAGAATTTAGAATAGAAAATTAAAATGTCTATAAATAAGTGCTGTAAATGCTTATTACTGTAAAGAATTTTATTTAACAATGCAAACATAGAAACAAAGGAATTATAACAAGAATAATAATAAAGAAAAGTTTCTAAAACTAGGTAAACTAAGAATTAATAATAAAGAAAAGTTCTAAAACTAGGTAAACTAAGAATTAATTGGTAATAAACAGAAAAAGTAAGTATACGAAATTTATAGTGAAGGAAATTTACATTATCAAATATTAGTAATAAGATTGAAATACTATTACAGGCCATGCAGTAGTTACCACTTAATAAAATGAAATGGAGCTGTTTTTGAGTTATTGTTGCTGAACAAAATACAAAGTGCAAAGTCCAAAAAACAACTAAACATACCGAATGTATTTCTCATAAAACACACTATAATCCATTACATCATTAACCAGATCGCCGTGAGAGTAGTGGATCGATAGAGATGAGGAAAACGGGTCGACATATTTCGTTTTACCATCATTATCTCTAAAAATGGAAATAAATATGTTCGTTTATATTTAGCTTCTCCCTGTTTGTTTGTTTATTTCCATCTATGGAGAAATTAAATTGAGCATTCTACAAGAAATTTAACGCCATGCAATTTATAGGTTGCACCGATTTTATTCTCCTTTCGCTTCCTTTTTAATAAGTATTCAACCTAACCTGCCCCTTTGAATATAAACAAACAAGAAACCTGCTCAACATTTCTGACTATGTCGTTATTTACTAAATAGCAATTACTTCACTGGTGCGTCCATTAAATTCCAGCAAAATTCTTAATGTCAACAACTGAGAGTATGCAAGATCAATCATGCAATCATCAATGCAACAATTTCCATTGATATTATAGGAAAAAAGACGTAGAAACACGACGACTTATCACTATTTTAGGCTTACTATCATTCTAAGTTCACCTGTTTCAAGTTCATATTATCCAGTTGCAAAATCCATCAATTCTGTTATAATCATTTTGAAATTATTAACCAACAGGTAGCATGAACGTGATCTGTATCAAACTGAACTGTTGTCGGTTTAATATTTGACCAATCCTTAATATTTCTAGAATTGTTAAACTTTCGCTTTTTTTTGCAAATAAGACAAAATTGCTAAATATCTTTTCTTAATGTATCTAATATTACATAAAAGCATCTAATAATACATAGCATACCAGGTAAATATTTTCATCTGTTATGATCGAGAAATTTAACTGAAAAATTCTATCATTAAAAAAAGATGAAAAAAAATAATTAATTAACCGGAAGAATTTGACCTGACACCAATAAATTACGAATGTTGGAATATAACACATTAATAAATTCCGCTCAAACTCTCATTTAATCAAACATTCACTATCTGCAAGAAAAACTTAAACTGCAAACATTCGTTTTAAATTAATATACGATTCAAAAATTATCACAACAAATTTGACTCGATATGAAAGGCACTATTTAAATATTCAATATTTTCAGCTATTCTGTGATCAGGTATGGATACATGAAAGTATTGCAATTCGCCCAAGTATCTCAAATTGTAGTATATATCACTGCATATTTCTTTGTTTAATAATCAAATAAAACTATATTAAAGAAAGTCTGAAATCCTAGTTTACTATTGACTTACCACTTAATATCCCATTCATTATTTTGCGTCATCTTCTTTCTCATTCATTGATTTTAAATGCAGGACTGATTTCCTAGTACAAAAGTTATTGTCTTAATTTGTCAGTCTCGGCATGGTTTTCATAATCTGCTAATGTGAAGCGGATAATGTCAAGTTTTCTCCTGCCTTGCATGTCTCAGAATTCGACCTTTCTATTGCTTATCTCTTGCATTACGGTCATTTCTAATCTTTCACTCACTTATAAACTGCTGGAAAAATAAGTTGTAATTTTACGGTACTGCAATGCATTTTTTATGGCATTCCAATGTATCCACAATGAAATCAAAAATCACAATAAAAAAAAGTGGCAGGTAAAAAATACCATTTAAACGAAAATACCACAATCACGATATAAAAAAAATTATTTTCAGATGCAAAGCAGAGGTAGAAATACGAAATGCTTTGAGGAATAAAACTGATTCGTACTATTAATTAATTGATAAACAGGAGAATTTCCTAAATTTTCAGATCTTCTCATGTAAACAAATCAAATTTTACCTCTTCGTGATATGTTTACTCTCGTTATTAATCTAATAAAGCTAGTACTTTTTCAAAAACTATTCCTTTTATACCTAGGAATGTCTCGAAAAATCAGGCAAATGTTTAACATCCAATATAGCATTCTCGTCCTACATTTTCAAGTTACGCTGTTCCAATCAATGACTGCGATTAACAGAGGCTAAAAGTCTAATGTCGAACATTTTTGGACATAAAAAGAAGAGCGTATAATACACCGTAATCGAAAAAATTCAAAAAAAGAAAGAAATTTAATGAATTCTTCTTCTTTTTTAAAATACAACACTGTCTACCAGAAAACAGTTGTTTCAAAAAAAAAGGGAAATGAGACAACTTCAAAAAATAAGAATAAAAGTATGATATAACAGTGAAGTGCTAAATTATGTTGTTGTTATTATTATTACTATATAGAGTAAAAACAGCAAGAAAACACAAAATTTTTCAAAATTTTCTAGATTCTTATCAATTTTATCTCAGTTCTTGGTTAGTATTTGAATTTATAATTTCTGGTGAACAATATGTTAAACATAATCTAAAAAAAGTGTGGTAAAAATTTATAAAGTATAATTAAAATCTTTAATAAAAAAGGGTATATATATATATATGTATATAACGACACTGAAAAGTAAATAATCCATGTCTTTTTTGCATATATTTAGTCAAAGAATGAAAAACATGCAGCAGAAATACGTGCTTCTAAATAAACTGAAAATGTTTTCAAAGACGATGAAATTACAAAAATTACTATTTGCAGTTTTTTTTTCGCAACAAACTTCTCATTCAACCCGACAATAGTTATTATATCAAACAGATACCTTCCATTCATCCCAGAAATAAGGAAGGAAGATAATGAACAAAAGCAGACAAAACTAACTCTTCTTGCCAAACCTATCCTTTGCTCTAAAAAATCAAATTTGAAATATTTTTATTGAACTACATCACAGAAGATTTTTCCAGCGTTATCAGCTCCATTCATTCGTTTTAAATAGTCAACCAGAGTTTCCGAAGGTGGACGAAATGAACAATACTTATTGCGGACTTTGACAAGCTTCTCACCACCACTACCAATAACTACACCTTAAAAGTGGAATTAAAACCAGTCAAAACTTAAAATGTAGAATTAAGAGATGATCAAATGATAATGTGAAAAAAGAGATCGTGTAAATTATTAAGACGTTTTTCAAAAATACTCCAATTATGTTTAGAAATACTGCAATTATATTCAAGAAATCCTCTAACTATATTCTATTCCTATAAAAATTCTACTGGAAAAATTACTTTTCGAGATTAGAGAAAGATATTGCGATAACGCGTGTATAATAAGACGTTTCAATCGTGGTAAGACAGATGAAGACCATTCCGATGAAGATGATGGCAAGACATTTTTATGGAAAAATTTTCTCATTTCATTTTCATTTACAGCCATGAATTCCTGCAAGGATTAT